GTGTGTGTGTGTGTGTGTGTGAGAGACATAATGCACAGTGACATGCGTGCAGTGCTGCGGAGGGGTTAGGAGGTTATGGAGTTACTTATTCGGGGCAGACGTGTGTGTGTGTGTGTGTGTGAGAGACATAATGCACAGTGACATGCGTGCAGTGCTGCGGAGGGGTTAGGAGGTTATGGAGTTACTTATTCGGGGCAGACGGAGGGCCCAGATGAGGGAGTAAAAAAAAAAAAGGACTGTAAGAATAGAGAGACATGGGAGGAGGTGAAGATACAGTAGAAGAAAGAAGTGGCAAATAATTTGAGGGATGTGAAGAATTCAAAAGAGAGAAATAAGGAGATGGAAACCACAAGACAGAGCAGAAGGATGTGGTGGCGGGGCAGCGAGGGATTTAATTTAAGAGGAAAAGGGGATGAATGAAAGATGGAGGGACCTGACAGAGAAAGCGGAGAGAAGAACAGGAACAAGGGATTAATGGAAAGGGGTAAAATGAAAAGTGCAAGGTGGATGAATGGATTAAAGGGGAAGAAATGGGAGCATGGGATGGAGGGATTTTTTTTAACCGCCAAACTGTAAATGGATTAAAATAAAGAGAGGGGAAATGAGGAATGGAAGGAGAAGAGGGAATATTTGACAGAGGGAGAGGATAAATAGTCAGAGCGATGGGTTCGTGAAGGAGTGATGTGAGAAAGAGGGATGAAAAATGAATGTATGAAAGGAGTAAACAGGAATAGAAAATGAATGGAAGGAGTCCAAAAAAATGATCAGGTGAAAAGGAAGAAAAACGACATCACTGGATAAAGTTAAATTAAAAAAAAAAGTGAATGACGGAAGGAAGGAAGGGTTAAATGAWAAAAAAAAAAAGGGTTAGAGAAGAATGGGATGAAAGAGAGGAGAGAGAGAAGAGGGCAGACAGAAAAGGATTAAATGAAAGAGGTGTGAAATTAAAAAAAAAACACCAGAAGAGAATACGGGGCAGAATACACGGATGAGAGGAGGGATTAAATGAAAATTAATGGTGACTCTGAAAGGACGGAGGAAGTGAGGGAGAGCAAAAGAAAGAGGGATTAAAGATTAAATAGAGGGAGGAATTTCAGGATTGTGACAGATAAAAAGGAGCGGGAGGTGCAGATGAAATGAACACGATCAGCGGGGAACATGTGGAGAAAGAAATGGAGGGAAGGAGGAGAAGGAGGGAACATGGGAAAAGATGGAGGAGAGAGAAATAAAGCGATGAAAGAAAAGTCCAAGAGACAAAGATAAAGAACGAGTATAAGCAATAAAAAACAGGGAGGGTCAGAAATGATAATGAAGTTGACTCTTTATGTGAATTTGTTTTTCACAAGCAGGAAGTGCAAAAAAAAAATAAAAAATACGGTGAAATAGGCCGAGAGAGTAAAAGTTCAAAAACTGTGAGTAAAAACATTTAAATTATATTTTTTAACGACGACGAACTGAAAAAGCAGAAGAAAGAAAAGTTAAATGGAAAAAAAACTAAATCTGCTGGAAACGACAGAGATGAAGTCGAGAAAATTAAGAAAAGAATTAAAGACATTAGAAGGAAGAAACAAACGGATCAGCTCCGGAAAGGTGAAGATCGTTAAAACAGAGTGAAGAAAAGAAAAGAGAATGTCACACATTAGAGCTCTCACCTCCGCCAACACATAATGTCTTATTCTATTCTTCTTCTTATATATTCTTCTAAATAGAGAAGAAGAAAAGAAGTGGTCTGACAAACCTGAATCATTTATTTGCGGTAAACTAAAGTGGATATAATTTAGATTATATAGATTTTTATCAAATCTGCACCAAATTGTTCAGACTCATAAACGTCAGCTTGTCAAACATTTTTAAAAATCAAAATTTGACAAAATTGCTGGATGATCTGAAAATCTGGTTCTGCCCCTTAATCCGCATCCACACCAAGTTTTTAATGTGGTCTTCCCGACGCCCCCGAAAACACTTCCCCTCACGGAGTTTGTTTGAAATCAGTTCTGCGTAATCCTCCTGACAAATCGACGCGAGGGGCCCTCAGAGAGCGCAAACCTCCGCCAACGCCGCATCTCGCCACGTTGAAGAGCGTGAAAACCAAAATCCTGGATCGTCAGAATGTCGTCACTTCCGTCCGTTCCACAAAATGTCATTGTTTTAACGATCTCAAGCACAATTAAAACATCACCATCGTTTAAATCAGCCGGACTCAAAATCGACGTCTCCTGTGATATTTGAGCTTCACTTTGACAAGTGGAAGGAAGTGGAGACGTGTCCTCCATCTTTATTTCCAGTCTGTGGTCGGAACGGTAAAGTTTACCTGCAGGTCAAGGTCGGCGCCGAGCTGTGGTTGGTTTTTTCGGCCCTCGGCGTGACGCAGGGGTCGGGTTTGAAAAGTTGTTCAGATGAGGAGGGAGAGAAAACAGAGAAACAGGAGGTGAAGAGTGAAGTTAAAGGTAAAAATAATGGATGTAGGAGTAAAGGTTACTTCAACAGATACTGTAGCTTGTGTGTGTCTGTGTGTGTGTCACGGGGGTCACTGAAGATGGCAGGCGTGTAATCAGTGCTGTGGTGTGTGTGTGTGTGTGTGTGTGTGTGTGTGCGTGTGCGTGTGCGTGTGCGCTCTGAGGTGAAAGGGATTAGCGACAGGCTATGCTCCCTCTCTCTCCGCAGCACTCCTCTTTTCTTTCGTTCCCTCGCTCAGAATGCCCGTCGGCTTGTTTACGGGGGCCAACTGACGCCAAGACCCCAGCTCACACTCCGTACGACCCCGACACACAAGCATCCAAACGCACACAAACGCACACAAACACACACAAACACACACACACAAACACACACAGGCGTCACCCTGGGTTCAAAATCCAACAGTTCTCGACTGTTCTCGAACACGGCGGCGAGGCCCTGCACAAACAACGAGTGAACACACAAACACATAAACACACCCCACACAAACACAC